TCGCAAAACGTGCTTAAACCATTACAGCCGTAACTTGTCAATCTGAAGAAGCAGTGGCTACACACCAAGATTCGCTCCCGGATATCTAAACTGCGACCTTCGTTGAAATCCGTGGGTCCAGCCATTTGTTCCATAAAGCCTATTTAAGCCGCTGCACATTCTAAACGAATTTATACAACTGATTGTACAAGAGTCACTCCTGATTTGAGTTTATTTGGATACATTTTTACTGCTCGTGACCAGTGACTAGGACAACCAACAATGCTGATCTCTTAAATCTTTTAATCAGTATGATTATATTTAGTCACTGAGAAATTATAATACCCATTGTGCAGCCTGTTTGGGCTAAAAGGTTGTTAATTTATTTTTCTCTCAACAATTACAATTAAATTAAGTGGCGCGTGACTTATTAATTACTATACCTTTCAATTTTTCAATTACTAACGGTAAGCAGAAGCTTAGTGGTACTTTCGGCCAAAACTAGAACAACGTATGCGACCGTCAACATTCTTAGATCGCTGACAAATGGTCATATTAAAAATATGGTCACGAAGGGCGATTAAAAACAAAAGAGAGGTAATATTGAAACGCTTTACCTCTGCTTCTTTTTCACTTCAACTATGCAATTATTCATGCAAGCATAGAATAAGAAACCCGCATAAACACAAAGAAAATTGACACAGCAGAAAGCAGAAATAATTACGGAAAATAAATCAGGGAGATGTCTCGGAGGTATGAACATTTTAAAACTTAGACACAACATTATTCCAAAACAAAAGTTCAGATAATACGCTGAAAGCAGAAAATGTTTCTTCACTTGAGTACCTAAAATAAATCAATCAGTTTAAACCAAATGACAGAAAGTAAGCAGACCTTGCCGAAGAAAAAACGTTTCACGCAATAGAAGAAAATAAGAAACTGCAAGAGAATAAAAGGCGATTGCCATGTTATCCTTCTCCATCAGAGGATACAAGCTGAAAATTGAAAGAAAATCAAAAACATTAAAAAAAATTGTTTCATAAATAAAAAAGCAAAGGTATAAATGAAAACTAAAGGGTAACTTAAACAATTACGGATTGGCAGCTCCAGAAAATTTCAGATTTGGTCATGTGAAGTGAATCGTAAGAAATATTACGTTCTCTGTAGTCCAAAGTAAGTGAAATGGTATGTACCACTCTTAGCCATCAAGGCTGCGAAGCCGGAAAAAGTTAGTCAACAATACACTGATATAAACATGAACACTAAGCGGTGCAGCGAGAAGTTGCTTCCATATTGGCATCAGTTGCATTCTATCATGATTTGAAGAAGCAGAGGCTACAAGGACCTTTGCCAACAGGTGGACGCAGATATTCCCCTGCCCTTCGCTGGAATGTTAATATGCCTACGATGTGTGAAAATTGTGATAAAAAATCACACCAAGTGACAAGAACTCGATCCGTTAGTGGAAAGCGGGTGAGAGATAAACAGCGCAACCTTTACCTTGTTATTCTACTTACATAATTTTGAAATATGAAAACCACCTATTTGTGCACCTCAACGGGTTTTCATATTACCACATCCTGCATACCTCACTATTTGTACGAAACAACATACGCATTGAAATTTATACAACATTCTGGAAGCTGATTAGTAGGCTGGCAAGTACGACCAGGAGGACCATCTGCTGTCAAATCTGATTTTTGCAAAAATTAATTGTCCCTGTACACAAGAATGCACGCACTGCCATTAGCTAGTGCAGGATAACGTACATGTAATGAAGTGATCTACGAGCATTAAATAAGTATTTACAGAGCTCTTCATCAACCAGCCTTGCAACTTATAGCACGGCAGCTGGTTCTTTTGGTGTTACTTATATAATACTTGTTTTTGTTGATGTGCAGCTCCTAGACTTTAAACTCTGTTGCAGTGTCAGCTACTTTCGGGAAGATCAGAAAACGAAATCAGGGAAGACGCTGGAAGAATCGAAGCCCGTTTGCCCAAGAATACTATTTCGAGACCCAAGAAAGGAATAGACCGACAAACGAATAACACTTGATTAGACAGAATTTTAGTGCTGTCGGTCTACACACGAATTTCAGCGTACATACGTCTTCACAATTTGTAGATAACGTGGCACCACAATTTCCTTGCGTGATTGCTCATTAATTTTATTTTACTCCAACCTAATTAATAAACGGTCATTTCAAACAATTTAATGAGTACAAATGCTGTAATTAATAAATAATGTGCTCATTGTTGTCATCTTCGTTTGAGGTATCAGGGTCAAAGACCGAGTACCCAGACTAACATACCGACCTGTAAACAGCATTCATCTATATCTGTTGTTACAGTATAAAAATATTACCTGATCAGTGAAGTTGTCAAAAACCAACTACAAATCAGCGGGTGGCTGTCGATCATCATCAGAACGGGTCTAAATAAAATAACAACGAAGTAAAACTCTATGTCAATTTACGAAATATTTCGTCTAAATGCACAGTCTGAAAAAAATTTTAAAACTATTTTCAAATTATGACAACTTCGGCATAATAGATGCTTTGCATGGTAATAGATATCACAAAAATTAAGGAGAAGATTATTTCCCATCCGAAACACCCGTTTTACAACCCTTTGTCGACGAACTTAACATCGTGATCTGCAGCAGCAAGAAACACATTAACATAAGACCAGTACCAAACAGTGACACCTTTCGCTATTCTTCAGATTATGCAGTACTGACGCCCGACGAGCCAATACTACAGGGTGAGTTTAAAAGATGGTTTGGAGATTGGAGACGAAAAACTGAAAGTCCTCAACTAATTTTACACTGATACTTCGATAGGTGATGTACAAGGTTGTCTGTTCTCCGGTTTCAGTGGATGTTTATAAATTTGTTGCTTGATTTCCATGATGCTAATCACTGCTCAAGAAATTCAATCCTAAAATCAGTTACCAGAAACAGCTGCTTTTCTGCTATGTTCATATTGCGTTTCAGTGTGTCAAAAGACAAAACAAAGAATATCCGTTACAACTGAATTACAAATATAAGGATTCTACGACTTTTGCATCGGAAAGAAATCTTGACCCCAACTAGAAGAACACCATCCAATTAAGAAACATTTATATTAGTATACGAAAATGAGATTTCTTTGAAGTCGTTGGAGAGAAGATGGATGCAAAATGCGCTAAGTACTTTGCAGAAGGTTATAATAATACTAAGATCTGCATGCAGTAATATTATTGATTTGTGACGGAGAAGGCTGCAACGCAGCAATCTAAATAAATTATGGAATTAAACAAGCAACCGACGGTGTCTAAAGTGACTACGTGACGGAGGTGACATGGAAAACAGGATGCAATGTTCCTTAAAATTACAATGATTAAACTGTTTTGTCATCCTAGTGTTGACTGATGAATACTTTAGTCACAAAATCAGAACCTGAGACACTTACAAGTGGCCATGGATTTGAACTTGTACGCTGTTCAAGTTTTGTTAACCTTAGATGACGAAGACAATAACCAGCGCAAAAATCCATCCAACCAACCTAAGACTCTAATAATAGCTTAACCTCATTAGCGCATAAATGTATTCGGTGCTACATTATTAGCCGCAATAACTATTACTTTATTGGCTTTGTTCGTCATCGGTGACCTTATAGAATCTCTGCTTCATATATAATACAAGTGACTAATACAATAAAGCTATAGGTCTATTAAACGATACGTAACACACGGCATATACTCAATAATACGATGTTTAATAAGCCATTCATTTTGTTTAACTTACAATATAACAATCAATGCAAGAACAATGTAGTCAACAAGCAAATAAAAAATATTAGTTATAAAGCATTTCCCAATACATATGTTGTACGGTATATGTACAAACATAGGACACTGACTGTATCTGTCACTCTTCTCAGCTTACAGACTAAATCCTACCTTCTACTATAAAAACCAACTGAAACAAAGTTTTGTTTTGCAAGTACGACTGGAAAAACCAGAGAGCATTCAAGCACTAAGCGCAAATACTAAGCCGCAAAATGCTTTCTGTATTCCAACCTAATCGTATCAGGAGAGGTGCAAGCACCAGAAAAGTAAGGATCAAATGGCATGATGAAATACGATCACATGAATACTTCTGAACCATTACGGTAGTTAAGAAGGTATTGAAAAAGCCACGAAACTGTCGGCTAACCGAATAGTGGTAACTTGAACAGACAATTCTTCTTTTATGTTGGACATACCAATTACAAACCTGGAGGGAAAGCATAGTGAGATAACACTGGGGCTGCTCAATCGGTAGAGCGTCTGATTCAGAACAACGGTCAGCGATGCATGGTTCAAGTACCGGACAGGCCGCTATCCATTCTTGCTTCTGAGACTGATAGACGAGTACCACTTTGTGGGGACTACACACCATGCTATTGACATAGCTGATATCTAATCTGCCTTTGAAATAAGACATTTGACTGATAGCAAGAGAGATCAGTGTCATACAATTAACTGAATGAAAAGGATGCCAGAAACGATCCCATCGTAAAAGTGTAATAGACCGACATTTCGACAGCTACAAATTTTGCCGTTTCCTCATGGTGAGACAATCTTTACATCGAGTGTCTGATCCCATGAATGAAAGAAATGATGACTCGCGAACAAGACAAAACTTCCAGATTACGATTGATGGACGAATTTAGTAAACATGGAGCAAAACGCACTGCCTAGGCCATTTGAATGGCCAAAACAAAATCAAAGAAATACTGTGCAAAGAAGTTGGTCGAAGTTTTCATCGTGCCGATAGACTTTTGAACAGAGAATTCCATTGGTCATTTGACTTATTTAGCAACGCAAAGCAGCTACAGTCACAATTTTTATGCTTATGCATGTGCTGCGAAAACTGAGTGTTATCTATTTTCAACAGGCGCTGCAGCCGCCATGCACAAATGCGAATGCGAAAAAGCAACACTGCCATTAAAAAATGCTGTGGGCACAACTACTTGATTAGACACAAGCGGAGAAACTTACATTGCCACAAGCAGAATGCCTTTTTCATGAACTTGGAAAGAAAACAGGAAGAAGCCTAGCGACGTCAAGACCAACGAGTAAAGGAGGTTTTTAATGCCTGGTCGAATGAACAGCAGGACAGCTGACGGTAGCGCGGCAGCAAGTGTCATAACGCAACTAAAATGTTAGCTAATTAACTAAACAAGCTTAATTATTAAGTTAATTGAAACTTACCACAGTAAAATCAACTCGCTTCTATTCAACATTTTATTCCATTTTATCAGCACGGACGTTGAACACCAAAAATTTGCCACTTTATCCTTAAAAATAAGGAGATATCAAATAACAGGTCATAGAGTTGAACGCGAAAGAGTTTGAACAGAATTATCGAAAGGCAAAAGAACTGTCAAAAGTTTGAGAACTCAGAAAAACTGTCAATGTCAGTGCGTAATGTCGCCAAAACTGAAAATTCCAAAAAAATGAACGTATTAGATGCGCGTAATTTAATGGAACCGAATTCACGGGGTTACGCTGACCCTTTGTTCACAGAAGTCTAATAGGTCATCTAAACAGAAAACGGCTCTGCGGTATTTAGCACTATTAGTGCATCGCTTAGCACTTACAGTGCGCCGACGCATCTCGTACGCTTTGTCTTACAGCAATAACGTATTAGCAGCTATAAATGAAGGTTTAAGGGCCAGTACATTTCACGCTTTGCTAAAAATATGAAAAAGTAGGTTCTCACGCCCACAAAATGGTAATAGACATAATTGCATTCGAAGGGTTCTACAGGATATGCAGAAAACAGAAGTTCAAAAATGGATATATAACACTGGTGGAAGGAGCCATACAACAATCAACAAGAGGGAGGCAATGGGTACATAATAAATACATTCATTTTCACAGCTCATTAATCACTTCAGTATGTAGGAAAGCAGTACTTCATGAGGTTATACCAACGGTCCTGGCCCTTCATCTGTCGCACAGATTCAACGAAACGGGATCCAAGGCGTGACAGGTGCTCAATAAGCCAAACCATCTGAATCTCGGTCTGCCTTAAGATAGACTGCGGTACGGTTCTGTGAAAAACGTATTATGTGCCAGTGTTGCCATAATCCTAATAAATACGTTTGTTTTTGCAAAACGACGGGATCGTATAAGCGTAACCCAAAAACAATGCCATGATAGCTCAGTCAGTACAACAACGGCCTTGAATCCACCAATGATGGTTCGCATCCAAGTCGAACCAGTCGCTTTTCATTCTCTAGAGGTAAATGAACGAGTACCACAAAGAAGAAAGAAGCGAAGAAGTAACAAAGTAGCTAAGTAAATTTCTTTCAAAACTAAGACACTATTGAGCAAGATACCGAAACTAAAATCGGCAGTGAAAAAATGAGATGAAATGAAGGGTGCCGCAAATGACAGAAAGAAAGTACAAGCGAGGCCGAAGTTTCAACAGTTACACATTACTATTCTTGTTTTCTACAAATTAGTAGGAGGAGACATTAAACACTGCCCATTAACGCCAAGTTCTGTCAGGTTTACACTACGATGACAACAACCACAAAAACTAGACGCAAATAATTTAACAAAATAATACAATACAACACCAAAATCGCGACGCTCAATCCAGAGGGGGAGGGGAGTTCAATGACTTTAAGCAACTCTTGTCAGCCCAGCCACTTTTGTCAATTTTTCCGGAGCAAACGAAATTTAGTTGACCTTCGAATCAGACGCTTAAGGCAAAATCGGGTAGAAGACACTTACAGTGGCAATAAACTTGCATGGAAAAATGATGATCAAGCGGCACCGCTTTTATTTACCTGTGAAAAAAAGCGTGAGGAATGAAAACTAAACTACTCAGAATTAGTATTGCATACATGGTACACTTTTCTAATAAAAGGTAAGGATCGGTGTTGCAGTAGGTTAGGCCATTATAAGAAGAGTTGTGCGAAGCGAAGACCAATGCTCTGAAAAAGTCTGGTAAGGTATTTTAAACATTATGTGTAATAATAAGGTCAGTGCTTAGATTCAATGGTTCTGAGTACAAAGCTAAGGCGGTTGCTGAAATACTTTCAGTTATAGAGCAAACGGTTTTGTTACACAGCAAGGACCTTCTCTAAGAGCGAACAAATAGACTATGCGCAAATATGCATCTCATATACATCTGAAAGAAAGTACCTCATATAAACCGCGACTGAATGGAAATAATCGTCGAATGACG